CAAAATCTTAAAAACTTGAGGGGTTAATATGATATTAAGCCTACTGTTCAAATCCCAAAACGACCAAAATACCCTTGGATATGGGATTGTGTGGTCTCGACTTTCGAGCATATTAATTGGAATTTCCGATGAAAATCAAAGAGTAAGTTTGGGAATTAGCATAAAGAAGAACACAGCGGAAATAGTAGACTGGAGAATATACAGCTTTACCAAAGCGACAAAAATACCCTCCAGTTTATGTTTTCTAGGTTTTTAGCACATTAAAGCAGTCTAAATTAAACCAATAGAAATATATTATACACACATATAACCACACCATATAAAATAGAGCAATTATACCATGAACGCACTTTCACGATAAGGCCGTGCTCTCATCTGTCTAATTGATCAGAGAATCCGAAAGTCTGACAAATCTAGCCATGATGATATTATCCTGACTCACGTAAAAAAATATATATATATATAATAATAAATAAATAATTAAAGTGTCGAGCACCCAGACTATTTATCATTATTTAATAGAATTATCACACAATCATTTTAACACATACGTTGAAATTAATTATATCATATCTAAGAGCACTCTCATTGTAGTATTTTCGTAGTGAATGTATTTAATATTGGTGAGGCTTAAAATAAATTAGGAGAGCATGCTTTGATAATAAGCCTCTACCTAAAGATTAGTGGGAACTTTTTTTTTATTTAATTAAGTATAGATGTTACGCCCAACAAAAATAATAATAATAATAAAATAAATTAGGTGTTTTCAATGATGTAGTTTGATTAATATATATATATGTGGTGTAGGAATTAAAATGACATGGTTTAAATTAGTTTATTTGTGAGATTCGTACAAATCTTGCTAAGCTCATTTTAGAATCAAATATGATCAACATACTTGTCATACATGCAAGGTAAAATCCCCTTGATCATATTTCTTCAGCTGGCATACGTGACATATATGAGAAGCAATTATTCGACAAAGGACTTGGCAAAATTTTCATATATATAATATATATATATATATATTTATTAAGTTAATTATTTGTTATTACCGACAATACTAATCAGTAAGGCATGCATGAAATCATTGAAATGATTGGAGTATGTTATATTAGACTCATGTTTAATTAACTAATTATTAAATTACACGTATCAATTAAATCGGAAGTGTATTTTATGAGAATTACAAATACGAATAATGTGCATATAGAACATTTTTTACATTCAATGATTACTGTGAAAAATACTTGTTAAGAGTAACAAAATTTGACACTACCTATCAGTACGATTCAAGAATGACATGAGATAAGTGAATTTAAATTGATTTAAAAATGAGTTCGGCTAATAAACACGTAAAATACTTATAAACTTTATTCATTAATTATTATAACTATTAAAAATAATACGTATTAGGATTTTAAGTAAATGAATTGTCGGTACAACACAATTCTGCAATTGTCCATGTGGATCCAGGCCGTGGGCCCGTTTCCTGGTGGGCGCATCGCAGAGATTCTCCCACAGTACCCAACAAAGAACAACAACCCACACCACCGGCGCATTTTAGTGTTTCTGCATTGGGCTACAAAATATTCCCTTTTCTTTTTAGTATAAAAAGGGGGCAGCTAATCACCTATTACCCACTTGCCCAATATCCTCTGCATATGTAACAATCAGCCATCGAGTGGGGCCAAATTTTGCCTACAAATGTTTGGTAAGGTGGGAAATAAAAAGATTAAAAAAAAAAAACATTCTTACCGATTTTGGTTGATTAACGGAAAAAAAATAATAACAATTATGTTTAAAAAAATAAAAAAAATTTATTTTAATTAATTTATTATTATACGCTTTATATTTTAATATATGAGTAAAACATGCATTGGCCTTGGGATTCAAGCGTAATTTTAATTTTGTCTTAACGATAAATTTGGTATTAGATATTAGCATAATCACATTTCCATTTCCTATATTTCTATTTCCTATTCTTTTCGTTTGCCCCCATTTCCATTCTACAAAACTAGGTCTTAACTTAGGATACTTCAAATTATATTTCTATTTTTATTATTATTTTATTTTAATTTTGGGTTGGATTATCTAATTAGTTGAAAAAATTCAAATGAGCATGTGGGGGCAAAATCTTTCCTTTTAGGCTTTGAGCAATTGGATGCATTTGGTAACTTTTGATTGTAAAACAAACTCACAAACATACGCCTTTACTAATACTTGAATTTAATTATTTATTTGGGGATCAAGTTTGTATCAGTTGGGCTATTGTCTAGATAGGATTTAGGAATATTTATCACAGTTTTAGGAGATGTTGGAGTAATTTTGTATTTTGTATTATTTATTTTTTGTTTTTGAAGAATGTGATTTAAAAAAAAAAATCTGAGTTAATTAGAAACTAGTATAAACATTTTGAAAATTAAATTTTTAACTCCAAACTAACGATTTCATTCATAATAATATAGACCAAATGAGCAAAAATTATTATTATCAAATTTACAATAATAATTTGGAGCAAGAATTATTATTATCAAATAATACTTAATTTTTCATCATTTTTACTTTGTCAAATTTACATTCCATATATATATATATATAATTTTATTAATTTTTAAGCCTTTTGTCTTCCTCGCAAATATTTTAAACTACGGAATTTTTTTGTAGAAGATCTTTGCTGATTTCATTTAATACTATAGCAAATAGGTATATATTTATGGTGGTGATATTGGCGCTCAATGACTATTATTAATAAAATAAAATGTTAAAAAGACCTTATTATGTTTTAACGGATTTCTACCGTCTTGTTCCATCCTAATCTCACTTGGCAAACTTTGTAATTTTTGTTTTCTTTGGTGATCATAATTCCGGGTTCTCCTCAGTCTTTTCAAAATTTAAGGGGCTTTGTTAAAAAAAATTATGCAAAATCAGCTCGTTGTTATACATATGAAGACAAATATGAAGCCAATCACATTAAAAAATAAAAAATAAAAAAATCGAAGGTCTTGTCAATTTGGCATCGTCCCTAGAACTGGCAAATTTATAGCGAGAATAAATTGATTTGTTTGGATTGACAAGAATATATATATTTTTTCCCACTTGATACCTACACATTTCCTCCTTCAATGAATTATTTGCATTAAAAATGAGTCGAACATCAAATCTAATACTTTATGAAACGCTAAAAATAAGTGACAAGAATATTTGGTTAATTATTTTATTGACATGGACAATGTCTTGGGTTTTTGGGTTCAAGAATGTTTGGTCAAAGTTGCAACCCTTTAAATCTAGCTTGCAGTTGAGAAGAGAAAGCAAAGAGCCATGAAAGGAAGGAAACATTAGGATTTGGTGGAAGAGAGAAAAGGCAAGGAGCCATGACATGAAGGAAGCTGTTAGGGTTTGGAGGAAGGGATAAAAAAGAGAAAAGATGGTAGAGAGGCGCAATTCAAGAAAGTTTGATTTAAAAATAAATGAAGTGCCATAGTATTTTTTTGGACCGCCAATATCATCACCAGTCAAAAAATAAATGAAGTGCCATCGAATTTTTTTGGATCACCAATATCATCATCCTAAATTTAACGTTGATCCTTGATGCAATCGTACTTAATAAATTACTTATAGAAAAAGTGTAAGAGACTATCAGAAGGGTTAGTTGTAGGATCTAAAAAGAATTAAATGTACGTCGTCCGTCGATTCTTGACACAATCATACTTAATAAATTACTCATAAGAAAGGTGAAAGAGACTATTAGAAGGGCTAATTCAAACGTCAAATGTAGGATCTGAAAAGAATTAATGTATGTCGTCCGTCGATCCTTGATACAATCGTACTTAATCAATTACTCACATGAAAAGTGAAAGAGACTATTTGAAGGGTTAGTTCAGACGTCAAATGTAGGATCTGAAAAGAATTAAATGTATGTCATCTGTCGATTTTTGATGTAATCGTACTTAATAAATTACTCATAAGAAAGGTGAATGAGAGTATTAGAAGGGCTAGTTCAGACGTCAAATGTAAGATTTAAAAAGAATTAAATATACGTCATCCATCGATCCTTGATGCAATCGTACTTAATAAATTATTTATAGAAAATGTGAAAGAAACTATTGGAAGGATTAGCTTAGACGTCAAATGAGGATCTGAAAAAAATTAAATGTATTTCGTCCGTAGATTCTTGATATCGTAATTAATAAATTACTTATAAGAAAGGTGAAAGACACTATTAGAAGGACTAGTTCACACGTTAAATGTAAGATCTAAAAAGAACTAAATATAAGTTATCCGTTGATTCTTAATGTAATCGTACTAAATAAATTACTTATAAAAAAAGGTGAAAGAAATTATTAGAAAGACTAACTCAGATGTATGCAAAATTTGAAAAGAATTAAATGTAGGTTGTCTTACGGGGTTTTAATTCTGAATGCACAAAGAGACCTGAAAAGAAAGATATAAGTAGTCTCAGTTCTCTATGCGTAGAGAATGTTTTCATGATATAATTAGATGAAGAGACTATTGAAAAACATAATTAACGAGGATTAGGAAGTCCTGCAAAAGTGACCTTCATTACAACCCTCCCTTCTTACATGCGGCGCATTTTAGCACGGTTGGCCATCTATGCAAAAGCGTTAAGCCTTTAACAAAACACAATTATTATATCCATACCCTCAAAAAAAAATAATAATAAAAATAATACTGTATTACATAAACTATTCAAATTCAAAAGCCAGCAAAGATGAAGACAAGACAAGCACGTGACCTGCCAAAAACTTACCTGCAAAAAATTTCTTGCTTTGCTTTTGCCTTTAGACATCCCATTGTGCTCTCTGATCAATCCCACACATCCCCTCAGTCTAAATCACTGAATAAAAATCATTTTTTATTTTTCAAGAAATAATTATTTCTTACTTTTCGCATTAAATATTCAATTATTATTTATTACTATTATTATTATTTTTTTACAGTGTCTGCATCTCTACATGTGGGTGCTTTGGCCTTTAGCCTTGGCCTTTTCGTGGGTTTTGTATCTTTCTGCTATATAGATAGATTGAGAGAGTGATATACTGATGTTGATCTTGAGAGGATATGGTGGTTTCGCAGAGGATGAACAGGGGAGGACTAAAAACCAACAACACACAACCATGGAATTCGTGGGGATCGATTACATACCCATAGAAATCACGCCCCAGTATTCTCAAATCTCCACTTTCTCAGAATTTCAGGCTTAGTATGTGTTTGTTTCTGGAGAAAGTTCCCCTTTTTATTCATCTTTTCCAGCCCAAATGTTCTTATCCATTCAAAACCGTGTTCAGTTGTGAAATACAGTACTTTTAGCATGTGGGTTTTTGGTCTTGTGAAGTTTTAGCATCCGGGTTATAGGTAAAAAGGGACATTTCTTATTATGGTAATGGTGAGTTTGCCTTTTGGGATTCTGATTCTCAGAGCCACTTTTGCTTGGAAGTTGTTTGGATAAGGCAAATAGAGATTATAAATTCATGTGAGAATGGTTTCTGTTCTTGTTGGTTTTAGTGGTTTTGATTAGTGAAGTTAATGAGGATATAGTATGGAAAGGAGTTCTATGTTCTGGATAGTGGGATTACTGGTTGTGGCATTGATGGGGTTTTCTTCTGCAACTCTTTCTCCTACTGGTATAAATTATGAAGGTTAGTGGGTTTTATATATATATATATATATATTTTTTTTTTTCTGTTTATTTATTTAATTTAATTTTTAATTCATGTTTTGTTTTTGCTTTGAATTAAGTGGACACTAGAAGAAATATGCTGTAATTGGAGTTCCAATCCATAAATTAGGCAGATATTCCTACTTAGGCTGATTAATTATACTTTTATGGATATGTATTGTTTTTTTTAAAAATATCTGTCGCTTTATACACTTGCTACTCTGGATCACCCTTTTAAGTTCTTAAACTGTGGCTTCAAATTCATGTGTGTTGGAATCCTACATCTGTTTTTGTGTTTGCTTAATGAAAAGTAGAAAAATGAACTTTTTAGGACTTAGGAGTCTATCCATAACTGACAATCTTCCTCCATTTCCCTAAATTCTGATGCAGTTGTAGCTTTGATGGCTATAAAATCCGATCTAAATGACCCATACAATGTTCTGGAGAATTGGGATATTAATTCTGTAGATCCTTGTAGTTGGAGGATGGTTACTTGCTCTGATGGATATGTTTCTGCTCTGTAAGTTTCCTTTAATCCCATTGATACTTATCACAATTTGGCCAATTTCTAGTTGTTTAACTCATTCTTGGAGGGTTTTGTTTTTTTTTTTTCATCAGAGGACTGCCTAGTCAGAACTTGTCTGGGATTCTATCTCCAGGGGTTGGAAACCTTAGTAACTTGCAATCTGTGTAAGTTTTTGCCTTTTCTTCTGCTTTTCAATTGACCACCTTTTTTTTCTTTGTAATCGGGTTATTTTATTTCGACGTCAATTTTATGTTAGCTAGTATATAATCAGTTTTAATTGAAAGCAAAAGCGGCCCAAGAATGTCACAGTTAACCACTTTATATACTCGTGTAGGCTTCTGCAGAACAATGCCATTTCTGGTCCTATTCCTGCCTCAATTGGGAAGTTGGAGAAGCTTCAGACACTTGATCTCTCCAACAATAATTTTAATGGTGAAATACCCAGTTCTTTAGGGGACCTCAAGAACCTGAATTATTTGTGAGTTTCAGGAACTTTCTCCAATGTTTGATTGTGCCAGATATTCTGCAATTTACTACATTTGGAGCACAACAAAATTTTAAATTGACTCCTTTCTTTTCTCTTTGAGCAAGTCAGGCGATTAAGCAACAATAGCCTTACAGGAGCCATTCCCGAATCCTTATCCGAAGTTGAAGGTCTCACTCTTGTGTATGTCTCTGAACCATTTGCACCCTTAATTTCACATTGGTTTCATCTACAGACATGCTAAATTTAAGTTACAATTGCTTGTAGGGACCTTTCTTTCAACAATCTCAGCAGTTCTTTAACGAAAATACCAGCACGAACTTTCAAGTGAGTTGTTCTTTCCCTTTTTATTTTTTTACAAATGATACAGTTTCTTTTATCTGTTTTTATGTTTTATTATTGAAATTCTCTTGTTGCTTTTCTCTGCTTTCAGAATAATTGGCAACCCTTTAATTTGTGGGCAGAGTTCTGATAACAAGTGTTCTGCTGTCTATCCAGAGCCTCTTGCATTCCCACCGGATGGTGTAAGAGGTGTGTTTCACATAGTTAAAATTTAGTTTGTTTTGTGTAAACTGTGATGACATGTTTTGATAGATGGTACCTTTGCCTGACCAGCTCAACCTGAATCTGGGATGAAAAGGCATCATATGGCTATTGCTTTTGGTTCAAGCTTCAGCGCTGCTTTTTTAATCATAATAATTGTTGGCTCACTTGTTTGGTGGCGGTATAGACATAATCAACAGGTTTTCTTTGATGTTAACGGTTAGTTCTTTTGTAAACTTTCTTTCTTTTGTTGTCAGCATTCCTGTGTTAGTGAACCTTGTAGAGCTTTTTCCTGACTGCATGCATATGTGTGTGGTACAAAATAAATAGACTAGTTTATTGTCTTTGAGGACTAGACTGTCCTAATACATGTCTTTAGCACTCAATTGGTGGCCATTATTAGACGAGTGCACGCTATGGTTTAGGATTTCATTTTGAGGTGGGTTTGAATGTGCATATGCATGTTGCTTGAAAATTTTAGTTAAATATTTGAGGCCTTAAGGCCCTTAATAAAAAAAAAAAAGGTTACATTTGAACAGTTGCAAATACATAAATACAAGATCATCCATCTCCCATCTTTTTATTTTTTTTGCCCTTTTTTGTTTAGGGTACGAGCTTGATCTTGTTCCATATGATTCTGGAATCACTAAAGAAACTAGTATGATAGATACACAATGAATAAACAGCATGGCTGAGTCAGATCTTGGAAATGGTAATCATGTAATTTTATCATCAAATGAAATTTCAAACAATATTGAACTTAATATATGCTATGTGATTAAGTGTTGAATCAAATGGATGAATATACTATGAACTGTCTCAGATCTAAAATCTGTCAATTTAGGGTGTGCTGTGACAAGTATGATGTGGCTAAGGAAATATGTCAAAAATGTAATCAGATGAAGGAGTTGCATAAACAAACATGCATACATCTACAGACACATACCACACACACATATATTTCTTTGCAAAGAGAAAAGGAGAATTACAGAAGATTTTTACTGAGATTCTTTTGGTTGAATGAAACAGTAAACAAAACATTTTAGAAAGAAATTTAGGGGAAATATTTTTTCTGAGGCTGGGTAGTACCCTCTTCAGAAGGCACCTTCAAGAATTATAGTACTGATTGCTTGTTTGCAAATGGGAAAAAAGTTGGAAAGTGATTAAAAAGGATTATTCCATATGCCGGTCACAGGGGTGGTGATCCCTCAATCAGGCCTTAGTTTTACCATTTGGCTCTTAAGGCATGGAGTTCTTCTAAAAGACCATAAGCTCGTTCTTTAAGCACCAAAATGAAATTTCAGTGTACTTATCAATAAAAAATAAAAAATAAAAAATAAAAAAAATAAAAATAAAAAATTGAAATTGAAATTTCAGTGAAACCATCACCAAATAATACACATTCTTGTATTTTGCGTAATTTTGGTCATATAGTTTATTTCCATATGTTAAAATAATTTATTAGATAGTTTTTATTGCATTGTTGATTTTGACTGATGCATATGGTTACTGCTTTCTTTTTCCTCTCTCTAATTTGTCCTGCATACTAAGCTATAACATGTAACTTGGCAGATCAATATGATCCAGAGGTATGCTTGGGGCATTTGAAAAGGTATACATTTAAGGAACTCCGGGCTGCAACTGACCATTTTAACTCAAAGAATATTTTAGGAAGGGGTGGATTCGGAATTGTATACAAGGGTTGCTTACACGATGGGACTCTGGTGGCGGTGAAAAGGTTGAAGGACTATAATGCTGTTGGTGGTGAAATCCAATTTCAGACAGAAGTAGAGATGATTAGTTTGGCTGTCCATCGGAATCTTCTCCGACTTTGGGGGTTTTGCACCACTGAAAGTGAACGGCTTCTTGTTTATCCATATATGCCAAATGGGAGCGTAGCATCTAGATTGAGAGGTGAGCATTGTATTTTGGGGCTGCTGGCCTGTCTTATTTTTAGTCGAGGCCCGACTATTATACTCCTGCCTTAAAATTTGGTTAATGTGATTTTTGGCAACATCAAACATTTAGAATCTTTATGCTCTCATAAAAGGTGTGATTGGTCTTTCCAATTCTGATTAAATCATCCATATTTACTACTGTATAACTTTTAGATGCTAAGTTTTTATTTGTTTTTATTTTTTAAAAGAATTGTATGGAGGATTTCTCAAAGGTACACATAATCCTTTCTTATTGAGCTCAATATTCATGCTTTGTTTTATTGTTCTTAGTTTAATTTTATGATATATTTTTAACATCTAATTCATAGATGTCTAAGTAAGCCCTGTAGTTCATTACTCCTGGGACTTAGCATATTTTTTTTGACAAGTGGGACTTAGCATATTTTTTTGTATGAAGTTCTTATTAACCTCATTTCTCACTAATTCAATGGTGAAGGAAAAATCAACTCAATGGCTCCTTCACCTTTTTTGCCTAAAACACCTTGTTACTCTCCTTTTCTTGTTTTGCAATGTTTAACTGTTATTTATTTATTTTTTATAACTTCCTTGGTTACAGACTTGATCTCTTGTATATAATTACATGGCATAGGGATTTTCTCTTGGGAGTTTTTTCCCGTTACGTCATGACTTGGATGCTGCCTAATATGATAACATGGACTAAGATTTGTGTTATTATTCTTGATCTTTGTTTCACTATTATGGTATAATTTTGACAATTGAGCTTGTTTTTAATGCGATCTAAATAGTGAAGACACTTATAAAGAGGAGCAATGTTTACGTCAGATATGCTTTGGATACCATCACTTCTTGAACACAACTTGACGTTGAAATTATATTTCGTAACATTGGCACTTGATAGAAGCATGATATTTACCTATATGAGTAGCAGTGTAAACAATATATTACCTGTGCATGATATTTACAAGTTTCATTTCTGCTATATGTATACATTTAAGAGTTTATAGTAATATATTGCCTTGTCCTTGTTGTGTCCAACCTTTTTTAGAATATTGTGTCAACTATCCATGTTATGTTGTGTCTATGTCCCACATCTGCCTATGTGCTACTTAGAGGGTGATGAGTAGGTATTGATTTAATTTTGCAAATATGGTCCGACTTGAGCTTTTGATTCCTCCCCATATCATAACCTAGTTCCCGAACAAAAATTATGAAGATCATGACCTTGAAAATTAAGTCACATTGAGTTTTAAAGCAAGATTTTTATTAATAAGTTGAAAGCATGAATTTCATGTCTCGGAATCAAAGATATTCAAAGTTTTTACTGATTAGTCTTCAGTTCCAATTCCAAGCCTTGAGTTCCTTTCTCCTAAACTCCACATTAGATTAACATGTTTCCTAGTGCCTTAAAACTAGGTAGCATCTCTAGAATTTAAATTAGAAATGGACCAAAGTCCGTTGTCCATTCAAGGTTATAACTTTAAATTGCTGGCTAACATAATGTTGCTCATTGGGAAACTGCTGATTTTTGTTGCCTGCTGGTAACTTGGTCTTCAACTATTTGTTTCACATCCTTTTTACTCATTGCTGTCATTTCATTAACCCAAGATTAGCTTTTTAGCTGAACTGGCAGATTCTGAGCTGATCTCAAACGTTTTCAAGTTTTATTGCTAGTATCTTCGATTGAAGTACCGAGCCTGGATATAGCATCTTTGAAAGACAATATATTTACTTCATCTCTTGGGTTTTCTTGACAGATCATGTTCATGGTAGGCCATTTTTAGACTGGTCAAGTAGAAAGAGGATAGCTTTGGGAACGGCAAGGGGACTGGTATACCTGCATGAGCAGTGTGATCCCAAGATTATTCACCGTGATGTCAAAGCAGCCAATATTTTGTTGGATGAAGACTTTGAGGCAGTTGTTGGAGATTTTGGGTTGGCAAAGCTCCTGGATCACCGGGATTCTCATGTGAGCACAGCCGTGCGTGGCACCGTTGGTCACATAGCCCCCGAGTATTTATCAACAGGCCAATCATCAGAAAAAACTGATGTGTTTGGGTTTGGGATTTTGCTCCTAGAGCTAATTACAGGTCAAAAGGCTTTGGACTTTGGACGGGTGGCCAAGCAAAAAGTTGTAATGCTTGATTGGGTATTTCCTCTCTCTCTCTCTCTCTCTCTCTCACACACACACACACACACAAACAAACATGCAATGTTGTGGCTTTTATGTAAAACATAAAAAAAATAAAAAAATAAAAATAGATGATTTGGAGGAGAAAAGGAAAATTTGGCATAACAAGTCTATTTTGGCATATGGCCAACTTGCCAGTGGAATATACCACTAACTTGCACGTTCCAATTTTTGGTGCATGGCTTGCCGGTGCCTCTTCCTATTTATATCCTGTTAAGGGTCAATTCTGTTTTTGTTGAGTTGTAGCTACTTGATTCTTTAGACGTGGATTATGCTTTGAAGGATTAATTCCTTAATTTTCATAGATGTGAAGCGCTTCACTGCAATTATTGTGGATTCTTTTACTTTTTCATTTGTTAGATCTTTTTATTTCACCAGATTATGTGCATTGAATTCAATCTTTTCGTTGGATAATTAAATCATTTCTTACATTGTAGTGCAACTTTTATGCAGGTAAAGAAGCTCCATCAAGAAGGAAAGCTTAACCTAATGGTGGATAAAGATTTGAAGAACAATTTTGACAGGGTTGAGTTAGAAGAAATGGTTCAAGTTGCCCTTTTCTCTACTCAATTTAATCCTTCTCACCGCCCAAAAATGTCGGAAGTGCTAAGAATGTTGGAAGGTGATGGCTTAACTGAGAAATGGGAGGACTCGCAAAAGTTTGATACACCTAGGTGCCGATCAATCGAAAATCCTCCCCAAAGATATTCAGATTTCATAGAAGAATCTTCACTTGTGGAAGCAATGGAACTTTCTGGCCCCCGGTGACAACCATTTCTCTTTCTTCCCCTCGATACTTTCCTTTTTACGTCATTAAGTTGCAGAACTTGAAAGTGAGACATATTTGAGTGGTGTGAATAGCATGTATTCTTCTGTAAAAGTAGAAGGGAAAGCCGTGTTTAAGCATTTGGTTCCTTGTTGGCACATTGGCTGAGTTGATAGCGTTTTTGTTGAAAGTTCTTGTAATCATGCTACAAAATTTGAAATTTGTACGTAATTACACTTGCACTAGGTGTGAGTGGCAACGAAAATCGACCTCATAGCTTTGCTTGCATGGCTACGAGTACTAGGACTGCAACCGACATCACCACTGATCAATCTGCCCTCCTTGCCCTGAAATCCCTGGTCACTTTCGACGCTCACATCATGTTGGCGAACAACTGGACCGCTTCAACCTCCCCTTGTCCATTGCAGCACTCGCCACCATTGCAACTGTAAGAAAGATGTAAGACAGTTACGATTGCAACTGTAAGAAGGATGCAAGACGGATTGCAACTGTAAGAAAGATGTAAGACTGTTATGATGATGGCGAGTGCTGCAATGGACGCCAATCTAGTTGCAAGGGGAGGTAGAGGTGGTCCAGTTGTTCGCCAACAAGTTGTTGGGATGGTCGAAAGTGACGAGGGATTTCAGGGCTAGAAGGGCAGATTTGATCAGTTGTGATGTTGGTTGCAGTCCTAGTACTCATAGCTAAGCAAGCCATGGGTGGCAAAAATTTCATTTATACTGAATTTACCTTTCATTTACAAGTTTATGTATGTACCTGTGATCAAAAGTCATGTAATGCAGCAGCTCCACTTATAGATTTCTAAGTTCCAACTGACTTTTGGTTTTAACATTGTGTTGATATCAAATTTTTCCTTTTAAAATCTAGAATGTTTATCAACTCTCAGAGTTCGAACAAGAACAAGAATAATGAAGTAGCAACTATTTTTTAGGATTTTTTTTAAAACAAATTGAAGATAAAAAAACATTACTTTTGACATCAATAATTGATTAAAATTCATGTCACAAATGGACCTTCATGGTTCCTTGAAAAAAAATAATAAAAAAAAAAAAATTCAATTACAGACAATTTTTTGACTACTATAGAGATTGTTTTTACCCTAAATAAGTCTATTCAACGAGACATTGGCAATTTGGCATGAGAGCCGAACCCAAACACACATCTTGGTTCAGTCTTTAATTATGGGTCAATCAGATATTGGACCAATATGATATGAAATTAGGGGTAATTATTGGGATGATCAGGAATATATGCTCCCGACCAATCACAAGTCGCATTGCAAGTAAATGTGTCCGTTTCTTTTTCTTTTTTTTTGGCCTTGGTTGAGTACTTGTGATCGACAGGGGACCATATAGATTGAAAAGATAGATAGGATAAAATGAAAGGTGACGATGGAGAAGAAAAAAGATTTAAAGAACTTACTGTAATAATTCAAAACCGCATATTTTGATTACATAGTATCCATATATAGGTAAGATCACAACCAACCCTAAATAATTACATAATATCCTAAGTCCCATTCTTCAATGATACGAAGTGTTTGCAAATCATATGTTGTTCTAGCTTTCGTGTGCCTCCATCAACATATATTTAAAAATGCTTCAAATATAACACACACACACACACACATATATATATATATGTATCTGTGTATATATGTAAGTAAGTATATAACAAAGAAACTCATCATGCCTTCAAGGATTTTTTTTTTTTTTTGGGGTGTCATACACATGGTGTGTAAGTGTGACATGTTCCGCAACCCTTATGAGTGATTACCTTCGAAAAAAAAAAAAAAAAAAAACCCTTATGAGTTATTGTGGGCCACCTGGGCTCTTTCACGCGTTTTATACACATAAAAAATGGGCCCCATAAATTGCATTGGCAAATGGGATTTTTAAAATACCCATCCCGTGGTTGCACAATAAAAAGGACACCTCTCATTATCCATAATGGACTACGGCCCATACCAGAACCTAGCCACACGTTATTTTTTATTTATTATTATTATTATTATTATTTTTTTTTTTGGACCGACAACGGAGCCAAAAGACCCCAAAACAAAAGCAAACCAACCACCACAACTAACCCCCAACATCCTCCAGCGCAAGCCTCTGAATTGAAGAAGGATCGTGTAATTCTGTCTGAGTCCTAGGCAGCCAAAAAAAAATTAATTTTTTTTTGATCCAGACGAATTAAGGGAAGGGAGTTGAGCACAAACACACTTGCTCGGACAGTAATTAATATAATTTATGGATGTATTCTCTTATATGCGCGAATTTGCGATTTCGAAGTCATTTTGCACAAAATTTGCGAATTCACAATTTTCATACGAATTTACTTTATGCAGCTAAATTTGTAAAGTCCAGTGATATGAAACACTTATATTATCATATATGCATTTATTACTTACACTATTACGCAATATATATCTTTAGCTGTATTACTATACTACCATATATATATATATATATATATATATATATATATATATAATACATGTTTGAAAATATACTACTAAAAAACTTCCCGAGAATATTACAAATAAATCATGCATTTATTAGTAAGAAAAGTTAGCTTATTTATTACATATATCATTAATGGAATAAATAATAATGAATATAGAATTTAAATAAATAAATAAATATATATATATATATATATAATATATGTAATGACATGATATAATTTTATTTAAACCTAATATACAGACGCTCTCACTTTCAAAAATTTTAAATTTTTTTGACTTTGACGCTTTCGCACTCTTACTCCCGCTCTGTGTGACTTAGCTTAAGAATACTCGATTTAAATGGTTCGGATAAATCACTAATAGTAATATGTGAAACCAAAAAAATATTGTAAAAATATTGTTCGTTAGTTTCAAGGTAAAATATTTTTCTTAGAAAATATTTCTTTTTACCTAACATATTTTCTTTATTTATTTTTTTTCGATATTTGACAAAGGTGTAGGTCAAGATTAATTAGGATGAGTCCATCGGGCAGGGTTGTAAAATAACTTGTAAAAAATTGACGATTAAGTTATTTTTGTTAGTTTTTAATAATTTTTTTGTTCGTAAATATTTTACAATAACCAAACATCAAAAAATAAATATAAAAATGCTGAAAAATATTTTACATTCAAACAAATAGAGGAAGAGGTATGATCTTCTTGTGATATATATTAATACTATAAAATAGGTAATTTGGTACACTTAAGGGCCATTTTAGTATGCATTTTATTTTTGGCATGTTGTTTTAACTCGGAAAAAAAATAAGTAATTTGTTATAGAGTGTTTTGAATGGTAATCTGCACGTTTGGTAATATTTATTTATTGTAAGATTTTTGGAAACAAAAACATGAAACATATTTGGTAAAAAAAGTGATGCAAGTGTAAAAAATATAATGATTAGTTTTAAAATGTCATTTAAGAAATTTTCAATTTTTTACTGTTCATTGCTACATCAATTTGGTATTTTTATAGTGTGAAAACATATAAAAATGCCAAATTAATATTTCAATTTTTGGTCACTATTCATGAAGTGATTTATTACTGTACAAAACAAAATAATTTTTACCAAATACTACATTATATCACTGCTAACTGCTACACTATCCGACAAAAATAAAAACACTAAAAATAAAAAGCATTAGGAACATGTTCACAAGACACTTTCAAATTGGAGGGATCTACGTCCCTAAACTACGTCTCTAAACTACAATGCTTTCTTTAGAAAAGAACTTCCTTGTCATAATGCAAGTCTTAGAAATCTTCTTCAACTTTCTTTTTTAGTCCCTTGATAATTAATATTCAAAACAAATATGTTTAATTTATGAAGTTTATGCATTTTTTCAAGAGTAATGCTATTATCTCTTTAATCACCACACAAGTCACAAGTTTTTTATATTTAATTACTTAATTAAAATACTTTAAAAATAATTTATTTGACTTTATATAAAAAAATTAAAAAAATAATTTCAATTTTGCGAGTAAATATGAAAATTCATTACTCTTGTCTTCAGAAAGTTGTATATATAGCGTTAATCAATTTTTAGAAGAATACAAAAAAAAACCTGTTATATAATATACAATAATGAGCGAATAAGACTTCTCATGTTATTAATATTGTTTCAATTTCTCTTTTGTTTTATGTTGTTTTTCCTTAGACGTGGGAAAAAACCATGACAAAAACGACGACGTAGTTTTTAGCTTTTCTCGAATAGTGAAAACATTCCTTGGCCAATAAGATTATTACTTGGACAAAAGGGTACAAGAAGCAGTATACCCTACTCCGGCACTATAAGCAAGACTATGACAGAAGCATACAGCTGTTCTGATATTCTGCCACGTGTCAAAATCTGAACAGGCATGCAATGCGGTGGATCTGCAATTTTGTCTTTCCTTGAGAAACAGTTTCACGTGTCAAGTGGGTCCAATCATAATCAGAGTCATCAGGTTTTGTTCAGCTTGCAAATTGCCACGTCTCCTTGATGCCGTGTCGGTCTTAGTGTGTTTTTTTTTTTTAGGTAAAGGTGTCGGTCTTAGTTGCTTGCTTCCGACTCTTCCACAACAAAATGGGGCCCACTTATCTCACGTAGAAAAACTATGAAAAATGATACTCCTACATTATTATTTTTTTTACATTTTTTTTTCATCTCAAATATTATTTAATTTTATAATTTTTTGTAATTTTATTTTAAATAAAAAATGAGAGTGGAGGAGAAATCCTGAAGTCAAATGTAGTAATTTTTTTTAAAGTGAATACTTAGGTCTTACTAACGAGGATATACAACATATTAATCATTGATGTCGACATTATAATAAATTGACATATCCTATTTTAATTGGTAAATCATAAATGGTAATCAAATCACTATCTCTAATTTGGTAAGTGAGTATCTCCCATCATATTTTTGATTTGGTAAATAAATGGACACATCCTATTTTAATTATCAAATCATAAATGGTAATCAAATTACTATCTCTAATTTGGTAAGTGAGTATTTACTATCTATCTTTGATTTGATATTGTCCTTTTTTTCTAATATTATCAAAGAACAACACTTACGTCTTCACTATTGAGGATCTACTGATCAATAATAAATAAACATGTCATCTTTAATTATTAAATTAAGGATGGTAATCAAATCACCATTTCTGATTTGGTAGGTAGGATTTATCCCACCATAGTTTGATTTGGTAATTAAAGATTAGATGTTCATTTATTATTGGTTCATAAGTGAATATG